TTTTTTTTTTGAGACACTGTCTCACTCTGTTGCCCGGGCTAGAATGCTGTGGCGTCACCCTAGCTCACAGCAACCTCAAACTCCTGGGCTCAAGCAGTCCTACTGCCTCAGCCTCCCAAGTAGCTGGAACTACAGGCATGCACCAACATGCCCGGCTAATTTTTTCTATATATATTTTTACTTGCCCAGCTAATTTCTTTCTATTTTTTTTAGTAGAGACAGGATCTCGCTCTTGCTCAGGCTGTTCTCAAACTCCTAAACTCAAACCATCCTCCCGCCTTGGCCTCCCAGAATACCAGGATTACAGGTGTGACCCACCACACTGGGCCAAAAGTGGTTATTTTATCTGGTTATTTTACCTTATAATATGGAAAAGTTGGAAACTAAATGTTTAGCCATAAAGGGATGATTAAGTGAACCAATAAACGGGTTTAGTGGAATATTTTGTAACCCACTGAAAAAGTGAAAGTTATTAATCCTCTGATCATTTGAAAGACGATTGATTCGATGTTAAATGGAAAAAAGTTGAACATAAAATTTGATACACAGATGTGCCACAATCCTCTCAGTACACACAGGGGATTGATTCCAGGATTCCCATGTGTACCAAAATCCATGCATACTCCAGTCCCACAGTTGGCCCTGTGCAACCCACTTATGTGAAAAGTCAGCCCTCCATAGATGCAGGTTTTTCATCCTGTGAATATTGTATTTTTGATCTGCATTTGGTTGAAAAAATCCACATATAAGTGGGCCCTTGCAGTTTAAGCTTGTGTTGTTCAAGGGCCAATTGTACAGGATAAAATTTGCTATATAAAGAATCAATATATATAGGAATATATATAGCTATGTTCCAGAAAAAATCAACTTGCCAGTGTATAGAAGAGGGAGAACAGATGTCAGAAAGGAAAATTACTCTAAAATGTTATCATTAGTTTTATTTAAGTAGTGGAATATTGAGCTCTTTTACTTTCTACTTGTTTGGTTCCTTGTTTCCTTTAAGGAGTAACTCATGCTCCTTAAAGGAGTAATGGGGGAGAGGATATTTTATAAAAATGTAACATTATGTTCCAACTCTCTCCACTAGAGGGAGAAACTATTTCATGTAATCGTACTTTGATGTGCTGCTTAGAACCAGTCAAGAATGGAATATCTTAGTTTCCTTTCTCCAACCCTGATGAGATTTTTTTTGTTTCATGTTTGTTTAGAACGTCTCAGATATCAGTTTCAAATAGTAAAACCATATAAATAATAAGTAAAGGAATGTTGCAATTTCCTTTTCCTTTTTCCCATAAAAACTTGGTTGGCTTTAACTGACAATGAAACATTAAAGAATTTGAAGTTACTAGTGCACTTACTAATTTTTCCAACAGTATAAAAATGCATGCCCATTGAGGAACTTTTTGAAAGTGGAAAACATATTGAGGGAAGTAAAAACCAGCTCTGCATGTATGCATACCTGGATGTTTTATAACCTGCCCTTTTGTCTCAAAAAGGTATAAAAATATTTTGTCATGTCATTGAATACTTTTCCACATCAGAGAATCTTATTTGGCTGTGGAACATCTCTCAAGAAAAATGTACAGAAAAAATTTGAATATACAATTCCTGAGATACTTATCATTTTTTAGTGGCTTCATGGAGCATTCCTTCATATGGATATGCATTTTTATTTAAAGCAATCACAATTTGAAGGCTTTTAGCTTACTTCTAGGGTTTAGTTATAAATGATTCTATGACATTATGTTGGTAAATAAATCTTTGCCCACAGCTTTGACGATTTTCTTAGGCTAAATTCCCAGACATAAAATTGGTGATGTTTACTAAAGATTACTCCAGAAAGTGGTACCAGTTGCATCTCCTGATGTCTGTATATTATAGAGTTCCTCCCCTCAGTACACGTATATGCACACCAGGGTTAAACTGAACTTTAAGTTGAAACACTTTGAGTGTTGAAAAGCCTTTAAAATACGTGAGTATATCCTGCTGTTTTAGTAAGTGTAGGTGTTCTATTTACTGCTACGTAAGAAACTACCCCCAAACCAAAGCTTAAAACAATAGCAATGATTTATTTTTTTCATGAACCTGAAGGTTGAATAATGTATTAATCATCTATACTACAAACTTAGTTGCTTAAAACAATACCATTTTTTAGCTCACAGTTCTTGTAGGTCAGAAATCCAGGCAAGACATAACTGGCTTCTCTGCTCAGAGTCTCATAAAGTTAAAATCAAAGTGTCAGCCAGGCTGCATTATTATCTGGAGGCTCTGGGAAACAATCTACTCCCAAGCTAATTCAGGTTGGCATAATTCAGTTCCTATAGTTGTAGGGCTGAGGCCCCCATTTCCTTGCTGGCTGTCAGTCAGGGGACTCTCAGCTCCTAGAGGCCTCCCTTCTTACATTTGTTGCCACAACATTGTGCTTTACTACTTCAAAGCCAGCAATGCAGAATCTCCCTCGTGTCTAATTCCTTTTTACTTTAAATCTTTTTCAGGAAGAGAACTGTCCCTTTTAATTATAGCTGCTTGACTAGGCTGTGTCTTCCCAGGATAATCTCCTTCTCTCAGGGTCATTTGATTTGGGGGCCTTAGTTATATCTTCACAATTCCATCACAGTAGCACCTAGATTAGTATTTGATTGATTAATGGGAGGGGTGTGCCCCAGCAGAAAGGAATCTTGGGTGTCATTTTAGGCTTCTGCTTACCACAGGGAGTGTACCCTGCTTTGAAGGACCTTAGAGTCTTAGTTCTTGAAAATCACATGAGAGTTTACCCCTGTCCTCCATTCTATTTTTTTTTTTTTCTTTCTGTGAACTAGCCATCATGATCCTTGACTCCAAAAGATCTCTCTTGACCACTTTGAGGGAAAACATTCAGAGATAAAAGACTTTTGCTCAAACCCAGAATGTAAAAACCAGCCAGTTGGCTGTGGAACTGCTGTCTCTTGGGAGCAGAAGGAGGAAGGGGACAGGCATGTTGCCATTGTGGGCATCCTTTCCTTGCCTCGGCCCTGGCCCTAAGCCTGGATGAAGGGCAGAGACCACACTTTAATTCTTCTGTAACCCCCACTGTGCCTAAGCACAGTTTTGGTCATATGTATGTTCAAAAATATTTATTGAATGAATAAATTGTCCATTAGATGAATCTCAGCTCTAAGAACCAGAAAGGACATGGAGCAGAGTTCATAGTCCTGCTTCATTGTTTGCTTAGGGTATGAGTCTGGTCTCCAGGGTCCCAGCTGCCTTTTGGGGGCGTTGTGGGGACCAGCAGGGCTAATAGGCACCACTAATCCGCTGGGGCAGTGCCTTTAGCAGTTGATCTAATACAGGCCTCGAATTGTGGCTGAAAACAAGGTCTATGTTCCTGATTCCTTCATTTTGATGGCCAGTGCTTGAGCGTTGGGTAGGAGGTGGGAGCAGGGCAAAAGCATCTGCTGGTCCCAGGGGTGTTTGAGAAAAAGTTGCAAGGTGGTTCTGGCTTCCCCAAGCAAATTAGGTAGAGTGGGTGATGGCCCAGTCTTAGTCCATTCCTAGTTTTATTAAAACTGGAAGATTGCTTATGGCTAGTTGCCTGGATTTTACAGTAAAGAATTTCAAAACGGTTTTACTTCCCTTTCAAAAAAGCGGAAAAGAAGGAACGTTTTCACTCTCCTTCCCTTGCTTAGCCATCCTAATTCGATAGGTGTGTTGTCCCGGGCCTTTGTCCTGGTTGGAAATAGAATTCATTTTTAGAGATCTTTGAAAAACAGGCCATTCATGAATTCAGTAAATTGTTGAGCCCCGGCCATGGTCAAGGCAGTGTGTGCCAGCGCAGAGATCAAGTGATAAACCAGACAGACAGACTCTGACATTCCATTGTGGGTTAGCATTCTTAACCTCCTAAGGAAGGGTTAGAACTGTAATTGTTCTTGGGACCTCAGAGTCTTAGGGCCTTTCCTAGAATGAGAAAGGAAACTTTGGAGCTCCAGTTGTCCAGTCAGAGGATGCCAGGCGCCCCAGCCTCTTTTGTGTTTTTCCTTCATAGCTTCTCTGTGCTTAGGTAGCCCCTGGAACTCCTCATTATTATCCTCCTTCACCACGAGGTGCCCAGGGAGCCTGGGGACCTTGGAAAAGGCATGGCCTGTCCTGCATGATGTCTCCACCCTGCTGCTTGATCATGATCAGTGTGTGGGGAAGGCTGGTGACAATTCTTTCTGGGTCCTGTTTCCTCCCTCAGTTTCCTCCCTCCGATCCTCTGTCCTCTCTCCATCCCATGTCTGTGATATTTCTCGTGGTCCCATTGTCCATACTGCTATTACTGAAGGCCACTCCACTCTGCCCATTCTATTTTACTGACCTTGGTGAATGAGAAGATTATCACCTCTGACCAGGAATGGCACCCAGCTTCCTGAGTTCAAAGCCTGGCTCTACTACTTAACTAATGATGTGATCTTGGTGTGCTACTCTACTTCTCTCTGCCTTAGTTTTCTCATCTGTAAAATAACATGGAGTTAATAACCATATCTTCCTTGGTAGAGTTTTGATGATTAAATTAGTTAATACCTACAAATGCCTTGGGACATAATAAAGTGCTTTAAAAGTGTTTGCTTTTTTAAAACTACATTTTAACTTGCAATTACATAATTCAGGTATGTTAAGTATGTTACTAGGACTTCCTGTTATAAGGGAACCACAAATAAGAATAGAATTTTCTCTTCATGGCCTTAATTTTTAATTTCTGGCTCAATAATTACATGTATATGCGTTTTAGGGTGAGCTGTCACAAACCTGTTTTGGAAAGAGTGGGATTTAAAATAAATCTATAAAGTGCTAATTTGGTATGTTTTTAATAATGAATTTCACTAGCGTGGTATATTATGCAAGTAGTAGACTACAATCCTGATATCTGAGTTCACTTCCAGCTCTACCCCTAGATCTCACTTGGTGAGATCTATAGCTGAAAAGCTTTGGGGATCATATTGTGAATTAGTTATAATATTTACTTTATTATTTCATACTAGGAAAAACTGGAGGAGTGCCTAAAGCAGTTAAAGGAGGAAAGAGTGATAAGGCTTAAGGCTGATAAACGAGTCAGTGAGGTAAATAAAAGTTTTGTTATGTTTTGAGAATATTGGTTTTTGGTTTGATTTTAAGCCATACACACACATATTCCTTATAAACTTTAAAGTGAGAAAATACAGTGTATTGCAAATTGGTTGCACTATGTTAACCTTTGTATTTACTTACATTTAGTGATTATGTGATTTGTATTCCAAAAAGCATGTTTTTAAAAATGTAAAAATTGTAGTTTGTTGGGTTTTTTTGTTCTTTTATCTTACTGGAGCTCATTTTCTGTTCATGATGCTTCAATTCAAGAATGCATTCATTAGGTTTATACTGTATATCCAGTTACATAAAATATGGTGATGAGACTATCTACTGACAGTGTAGTAGGAAAGTGAATAGTTTAAATAAGTATAGAGTAATGGGAAACTGCTGAGAACACAATGTAAGATAAAAATCTATACCATGAGGATTAAATTAGGCTAATGGGCATAAATGCAAGACATAAACTAGAAAGTTTTATATAATTTATCATTACAAAGTGAGTTTATGGAGGAATTTTTCAAAGTGTGTGTATTGGATTGGAAGACATTTACTCATCTGATAAATGTTGAGCACCTGATTGTGTAAGGCAAAGGTTACATCATGAACAAAATGACCTTTCCGAGAAATACTAGAGTTGGGCTTCTATTGTAGTATTAGAGAAATAGATGATAATGGGGAGGAGTGTGTGGGGGAGTAAATATTTTCAAGTAGCCAAGGGGGGGATATTGCTAATTTTACTGGTAATAAATTGGGTATGCTTTAGGACTTTTAAACCTATACATTAAGTATTTTGCTGGCGAAAATTAATCCTTAACAGCAGAAGTGTAATATGCTTTGCTCAAATCAGACTCTATATTTCATTTTCTAATGTAAAAGAAACCTTAAATAGCTAATTTTTTAGTATAGAATGATCCAGTATGAATTTAACCAGTGAGACGTGATCTTTTTGAAAGATCATTAATGAAATAATATTTATATACTACCTAAGTGTTATGTAGGAAATTTTGTCAAACGTCTCTGGGTTTTGATTGTTATGTGATAGGGTCACTGACTTTACTGATGGAGAGTTACATTAATTACAAATTTATTGTGTTTTTGAATGTTTTAGTTTTGTTACATAAAAATTATTTTCTTTTGAAGATAAGGAGAAAAATGTCAAACATTTTCAAACTTCTTTTATAGCTGGAACACGAAAATGCCCAGTTAAGAAATATAAATTTCTCTTTGTCCGAAGCCCTTCATGCGCAGTCATTGACAAGCATGATCCTGGATGATGAAGGTGTTTTGGGCAGCATTGAGAATTCTTTTCAGAAGTTCCATGCTTTCTTGGATCTCCTTAAAGATGCTGGGTTAGTTCATTTCTCTTTTTGGCATTCTTCCCTCTGTGACTTTAATGGTGGTTTGCTGAGGAATTTGAACAATTTTTATAACTTCCTTAAGTCATACTTAGTATGTGATTATAAGTAATACATTTAATTTTTTTCAATGGGCAATTAATTTTTAAAAAGAATGCAAAATGGCAAACCTGCCTTGGTAGAGAGCTCATTATAAAAGAGTAACCTATAGCCAGGCATGGTGACTAGCACCTGTAGTCCCAGCTACTCAGGGGGCTGAGGTGGGAGGACCACTTGAGGAGTTCAAGGCTAGTCTGGGCAACATAGGGAGACCCCAGCTCTAAAAAAAAAAGTTATCTGTAGATAGAGTAATTGGTAAGTATAATTTTTGGTAAAGACTAGATTTAATGTAGTTTTAATTGAAAATATTCAGGAATATATAGGAATTTTTCTACCTTTGATTCATTTTGTTTGTTAAATAGGTTGGAATTAAAATTATTTTTGTCCTAGACATTAAAATTGTTATTAATCTGCAGGGTAGATATAGATCAGTGGTCAGTGATAGTCAACTGGGAATGATTTTGCTGAAAGAAGACGCCAAAAGACAGAGTTGAAATAGATAATTGATAGAGTGATGTTTTATAGGTGAACGGGTTGGTGTGGGAAGCAAGGAGCAAACATATTCTTGGAAACTATAGGAGAAGTGATAAAGATGTGTGGGATGGAGGTGAGAGGCACTAGGTATGTGGTAGAAGTTGAAGCTTCTAATGAGACAGTTTGAAATGGAGAGGTAATATGTAAGGAAATAAAGTCAAGCGGTATTTAATCCATTGTTGGAAGGAAGAAGGAATGCCTAAAGGATTAGATGATTTGATGTGGTCCCAGAGCAAGAATATGGGACGATCTGAGAAATTGAGAGGGATGGAGGTTGTGATCTAGAGTAGAATATTGGCTTTTAAGATTTTAGAAGTGTTTTTGATCGTAGGATTGGGAAAATCTAAGCAGTTCTTATGTGATTATAGTAAGTCTTGCCTTTTCCTCCTTTCCTTCTCTTGACCAGGCTGGGGCAGCTTGCCACAATGGCTGGTATAGATCAGTCAGATTTTCACTTACTGGGTCATCCCCAGATGAATTCTACTGTTAGTAGTCTACCTAAAGAAGAAAAGAAGGCCCTTGAGGAAGAAAAACCAGAACCAAAGCAGAATGCCCTAGGAAAAATTGAAAATATCCAAGTAAGTGAATAGCATAGAACTTAATGAGTCAGGAATGATTAGCAAAAAGGGAATTATTAAGTCAGAGAAAATAATAATGATCTATTCACATGCTTGGTGGCCAGAAGCCTCTTTGGGATCCTTTCCAAGTCTGAACTTAGTAAGTTTGTGCCCATTTCATGATACTGTATTGTTGTGAATAAGAAAACCAGAAGTTCTTTTGAAAATTTGTAATTTAAAGCAGACTATCCTCAGTGAAAGAATGAAAGATTAGAAAAAATATTTTAAATTTTATAAATGTCTATTCTATTCATATTTCATCTAGGTTTCTATTTGTATGCAGTCAGCTTACAATGAAGGAACACTAATGAAGGTACAAGTACTGATACAGATAATATTTTAAAATAAGTAATCCAGAGATAATTAACAGGCAGCACATATGACAGGCGATCACCTGGTTGTGGGAATGGGAGGGGAAAACCTGTCTGCTGCAGGAGTTCCCTGCTGCTTTTCCCCTGGCCTTACTGGGATCCCCCATCTCCCATCTCAACCAGTCTCAGACTAGTCTCGCAACTGACAACTTGAGAACTCAGGCTAGTTACAAATTGGATACTGCTTACATGTTCATGGAGGATAGAAAATAAATTAATTTTCTTAGGGAATAGGGTTGTATTTTTTTTAATAAGGGAGAGGGAAATGGGTAATAATTACACAAAATACAGAAGTGTGAAAATGTGGTAGACCTAGCCCTGGATATAGCTAAGTTAAGTTGGGAGTCACTTGGCAAGATATAATTAGGGAAAAAAATGACCCTAAAATCTTCTCAGTAAGCTTACAGAGTAACACTAAAGTTTTGAACTCTACTTTTTAACAATTGGCTTTGTTGATCACTGAATTTTTGTTTTGTTTTTCCCTCTAGTTTCAGAAAATTACAGGTGATGCTAGAATTCCTTTGTCTCTCGACTCCTTCCCTGTACCAGTTTCTACTCAGGAGGCCTTAGTAACTTCCAAAGACAGCCTGGGAGTCCCAGCCACTGAGCAGCAGCAAGAGCCTTTTGAAGGATTCATTGCTAGAACGTGTTCTCCTTTAGCAGATGTGATTTCTGGAACTGGAAGTCAAAGAAAAGAAGAGGAGTTCTCCATAAAGAGCAAATCGTCTTCAGAGAAAATGACCAAAACAGGTGAATATAGCAAAAAACACTCTGCTAAGAAACAACTTGGAAAAGATCTGCATTCCTACTCTGACTCTTCTATAAACCGGAAAAGCAAAGGAATCAGGGAAACTAGTTCTTTGGTTAATGAACCAATTAAAAGTGAGTCTGTGAAAAAATACATTTCTGTCAAAAAAGAAAGTAGAATATTGACTGTTTCATCCAAGACAAATACAAGTAAATCCAATCCACTAGAACATTCTGAAAGTGATACTCTTGGATCTGATTTTGAATTTCAAGAAAGCATCCATTATCACGCCTGACATAGGTCTAAATCTTTTGAAATTATGTTTTTGCCTTTAAATTTTAATAAATTTTTCTATGTTTTTATTATGGCATATGGTGTCTTTAAATATAGGATTGGAAGCCATTAAACGACGATTTATTTATACCTTTTATTATAATGAAACTTTTGGTGTATTTTTCCTTTGACACTTTGCACAATTCATTCAACAAGTGTTTCCTGAGGGCCTAATGTGAACAATACTACTGTGGGTGCTGTAGCTTTCAGCAATGAAAAAACAAAGCTTTTACCCTCATGGAACAATATTCTGTGGAGGGAGAAAAAAGAAAACAACAAAGCAGGGTAAGATGAATAGGAAGGGATGGGAGTGAATAAATGGAATAGTTTTACCATTTGGTTAAATGTGGGAATATATATATATCTCACAGCCAGAAACCATTGACATCCTAATTCATAACCAGAGCAGCAAACATGTATCCAGATGCTTAACCATGTTCATGGATTACAACAACCCTTTAAGATGGGGAACTATGATTATACCCATTTTGTAGATGAGGAGTGTGAGGAGACAGATTATGTGACTTGCCCAAAGTTGCACAGCTGTAAATAACTTGTAGGGCAGGGATTTGAACCGGATCCCATCCTCCCAATCCGTTGCCTGTTTCACTATTAAGAGAGGAACTGCTTAAGGAAGATGCTGAGAGAAAAGCCGATGAACACTGGAAGCACAAAGGAGAGGGGCTATCAGAAAGAATACCCCTACACTATCAGGGTAGAGTTTTTAAAAAGCAGAATATGTAAGAGTGTATACACACACCTCTGGAATAAACACCCCTCCCTGGCAACACATGCATAGGATACCTCCTTTCCTACAACCAGACTATGACTTGCGAGATGAGATGAGAGAAAAGCTGGAGTGTCAGGTTTCTTCCTGTCTGATTGTTATCAGAAGGGCTACTATAATACTATTGAGTTCATTAATCATGGATTGAGTATTATGGGAATAAAACAATGAACAAGATGTAATCAGTAGAGGGAAGGGGACGACACATAAGCAGATGTCTTAATATTATATGTTACGTTCTGTGATGGGAAAGTGTTTGGGGAAAAAGAAGGAGAGCTGTGCAGCTAAGAAATGTCATCTAAAGAGACTAAAGTTCTTCTAAAGGTTTTCTGAAGAGAGGTCATTTTAATACCTAAGCTAAGTCATAAAGAACTAGTTAGAAGCTGGTAAATGAGAGATGAAAGGAAAGGATAGTCGGGGTATCCTGCATAGCATCTGCAGAAGTCCAGAGCCAGGAGTGTGGTGTGTTTGGAAACCACAAGCACAAGTAGTTTAGAGTCGCTGAATTGTCGTGGGGCGATGCTCAAGTAGGCAGCAAGAAGTTGACAGCAGGTCTTATAATCTGTGTTGTGTGGAGCTGGTTCTTCCTCAGGAAGTAGTGAGCTAATAAAGAATGGAAATGACATGCTCTGGTTTGCATTTTAATTTTAGATCATTAGCTTCAGTATGGAAGGTAGATTAAAGAAGCATGGAGATCAGTTTTCCACACTCTTTGAGGAACATTTGTTTTTGATTTTTTTTTTTAAAGAAATGAGGTCTCGCTGTGTTGCCCAGGCTGGTCTCAAACTCCTGGCCTCAAGTGATCCTGCCTCGGCCTCCCAAAGTTCTGGGATTATAGGCATGAACCACTGGCCTGGTCTGTTTTGAATTTTTAAGTGGAATTTATACTCCCACTTCTGCTATCTTACTGGAAGAGTTAAGTAAGGAGTTTTGTGGACAAACATAAGGGAAACCCTGGCTTAAATAAAATAAAACTGGTTTCTTTACAGTAGGACTTCTCAGGGCCACTGTAGGCTAATGTTAATTCTGAATCCTCAAGACAGGCATGTGAAATGCAGCCCTTCTCAAATATATTTGATCGAATCCTTTTTTAATAGGAGTACCTACCAACTGGTTCCATTAAACACCAATTTGGTAACTTATGACTTAGACAATAGCAAGAGGAGAAAGGGATCTTAAGTAAGGTACAGATGAAGGGAGGACAAAAGTTTGAATTTTATTTAAGTAATAAAATAAGCAAGACTTAGTAACTGGTTATGGGAAGTAAGGAAGAAGTAGGAGGCAGAGAGTGGACTCCCATTTGTGTGACTGAGTCTGGGTGGTGGTGTCACTGAGGCTGGAAATATGAGATAAAGAACTGCTTTGGAAAGAAGAGTTTGGCACTTGTTGAATTGTAAAGCACCTGTAGAATTCAGGAAGAGATGACTGGTGGTAGATGATTGGACATTCATGTGAAGACATGGAAAGAAGTAATTTTAAAGTCATTAGCACATGTAAGCACTAGTTAAAAATCATGAAAGTGGATGAGATCACAGAATTGTGGAGACTGTCAAAGTTTAAGTGATAAGCAAAGGAAGAATTCTGAGAAAGAGACAAGTGATAGAGTTGATAGAATTTCAATAAAAAAGAAGAATACAATGTCATGCTGCAGAGAATGTGTCCATTGGATTTTGACAGGTTCCAGGTAACCTTAGAGCGATTCACTGAATTGGTTGATGAGAAAGCCAGATTGCAGTAAGCTGAGGGGACAGTGAAAGTAGTGGGTATAGACTACTCTTTGAAGCAATTTGGATGAGAAGAGGAAACAGCTAAAGGGAAATTTATTTTTAGAATAGGGAAACTTAAATGTTTATAAGGTGAAAGGAAAGAACCAATTAAAGAAGGAGAGGCTCATTTCTGCAGCAGGGTCTCAGATGAGGAGGGATCATGAGAATATTAATGTTCTTAAAACTGAAGGAAGATCTGAACAGATGGGATTGTAGATTATTAGATTTCTCAATGAACTTGTGGCGCACCTACATACACGTAGTGCAAAATGGTTAGATAAGTAACTTAGAGAATCTGGGAAACAGAAATATGGATAAGAAAAAAAATCAGGGATGGGGTCACATTGCAAAATATATAAAAATTATTGTGTAATCTTGGAGAACCCTGATAAGTGTGGAGAGAGACAAAAGTAGGAAGAGTTGGAAGTTAAATGAGTTTATACCTGACAGGCTCAGTTTTCTTTGCCCACAGATTTTTAAAAGATATACATAATTATAGTTTTAAAATTCTTCCATATTTTACATGTGTTTTTATCAATCATTTAAGACTATTCCATTAAGAATTATAAATATGGATATTTTGCCATTTAATATGTACAATTTTGGACCTTCAAATGATTGTTAAACTTTGAATACTATACCTGAAGTCATATCACTTAATTGAAATACAGTATTTTCTTCTGGGCTAAAGAAGGTTACAAACAAGTTCCTTTACTGAGAAATTACTATGTACCCTTACTGAGTGTTTACCAGAACATATACAATCTATATGCAAACAAGGCTTTTAAAAACAAAACAAACAAAAAAACATTGTCAGATGTGATACTATGGCAAAGAGCTTGTCATCCTGCCTTAAATCCACACACAATTACTAGTGGTCAGAAATTACTCTTGCTTGCCTGTCCAGTATTATATCCAATAATCAGGCTAATTTCAAATGGGTATTTACAAAATTCTTAATCTCAAAACAGTAACAATTTTCAGAGGATCAGCAAGATAGGAGATGATTGGTTTTTTGACAAATTCTGATTATGAACTACAATGCTAACAATTTATGATTTAACATGGATGACTGAACACATTCTTTTACTCTTCCAGAATCCCATTGAAATGGCTGGAGAAATACTAAAAATAAATTAATAGCAGATTGGAAAACCAGAAACTGAACAATGTGCAATTTCTAGAAGATAAAAAGCAGATTATGGAAGGACTGATTACTTAAAGAGTGGAACAGCTAAGCCATTCCACTTATCCTTGGAGCATCTAGTTCTGGAATTTGCCACCAAGCTAAGAAAGTGGCTATCTGAAGGGAAGTACTGACTCAGGAAACACTGGGATTGGAGAATAAGGGCATTATCCAAAATGACTACAAGGAGGAACTGAAGTTAAGCCGCCCACATTATCTCTCTTTGGCTCTGTTGACCTGCCACTCCCCTTTATAATCACCAGAGGTGCCTATACTCAGAACTCGTGATCATGGAAAATGAACCAGAATTGCCATTTGGCTGAAGAAAAGAACTTCAAACTTTACTCTTAGGCCTCATCTATAAATATGGACAGCTAAGAACCATCTAGTTTGAAGAAAACCAGTAACATAAAAGGAGGCACGATATTAAAACAAGTTATTAATCATAACCTGTTCAAGAAAATAGTTACTAGGAGAAACAGAAGAAATTTTAAAATTAATACAATTAAGATCTTCAGCAATTCATAAGGATATGGTGTCCATAAAGAATAGGATGCTATGAAAAATACTTAGAGTTTCTGGAAATTAAAATTTTGATTATAAGAATAAAACAGAAGATGGACTAGATAGCAGAATGGATTCAATCGAAGCTTAAATTCATGAATGGAAAATTTGATTGAGGGATTCCTTTAACGTGCGTTGCAAAGGGGCCAAAATATGAAAGTTACGAGACTCCTAGAACATACTAATGGACAGTAGGCGCACAAATATTGAATTAATGAGAACACAAGTATTAGATTGGTATTAAACTTTTCATCAGCAACTAGATTACTTAGAAGAAATTTTTCTCTGAAAGTTACTAAGCAAACTGAACAATAAACCCATGAAAGAAGATTTTTAAAGAAACTCATGAACAAAGATACAAGAAAAATTTCTCTGGCTTTGTGGACGGCAAATCCCCAGAGGTGCCTATAGTCGGAAGTCTAAATATTAATGCACATGTAAAAATGAAGTCCAACTAAAATTCTAGATTTTAACGTGGATGAGAGGCAGGGCAGGATATAGAAAGTGAAAAAAGCACATTCAGGATCTTGTCTTGGTCAAGGGAAGGCTATAGATAGTGTTTAATTCTATATGTTGATAGAAAAGTATATTAAAATATATTCAGAATTAAGGGTATATCAGTAAGGTAGATTTGGTGATGCTGTAATAACAGCCCCCAA